CCACGGTGAGACACGGGGGGGGCACGGGGAGGTGGGGGTATCACACGGGGGGACAGGAGGAGGGCTGCGTACACCTGGGGGTCCAAGATCGTCCCTGGGGGTCCTGGGGCTGCCCTGCAGGAGGGACCCCCAGGAGGACACAGGGGAGTGGCTCGCAGGCGGGGGTTCAGGTGTGAGACCCCGGGGATGGGGGGGTGTTGAGGGGGGCACAGAGAGGCTGTGTCGCATGGGGAGGGGGGCGGGAAGGGGGTCCGAGGATGACTCTTTGGGTCACCCCTGGGGGTCCTGGGGCTGCCTCGTGCGGGTGGGAGCTCTGGGGGGTCCCATGGGGTGGGGGGCAACAAAGGGGTTTGGGGGTGGGCCATGGGGGTCCCATGTGGGTGGGGGGGCAATAAGGGGTCTGGGGTGGGGGGCAATAAAGGGGTCTGGGGTGGGGCCATGGGGGGTCCCATGTGGGTGAGGGGCAGCAAAGGGGGTCCGGGGGTGGGGTGGGGCATGGGGGCGCAGTAGGGGGGTCTGGGAGTGGGTGGGGTTGTGGCCATGGTGGGGACCACGAGGATCCCCGTCACCCCAAATTTCCCTCTCCCCCCATAGCTCTGGAGCGGCTGATCGTGGCGGTGCCCGGGGTGCGCGGAGCCCCCGTGGCGCGGGGGCGGGGGGGTCGTGGGGGCCGTGACGCGGCGCTGGCACCGCACCCTGCGGGAGCTGGACCTGAGCGGGCGGCGCTGCGGGGGACGCCGAGCTGGGGCAGCGCTGCGACTCCTGGGCCCTACGACTCCCTGCGCGCGCTGCGCCTCGCCGCCACTCCTCGTCACCCCGGGGCTGCAGTGGGCACCGAGGGGGGCTCAGAGGGATGGGGGCCCCCAGGGGCTATGGTGGGCATGGCAGGGAGGCCACAGGGGTGGTAGAGAGTGGAGAGACCCCGTCATCCCCAGGGCTATGGTGGGCATGGCAGGGGGGACACGGGAAGGGGGCATGGGAGATAGAGGGACCCCATCACACGTCAGGCACTCGGGTGGGCACATGGGGATGTGAGGGGGAACACAGGGATGCCCCTTCCCCTCCAGCGCTGTCCTGGCCTGTCCCCACCTGGACCCCAAACCTGAGGGTCAGGGGACACAGGGGGGCGTCAGGGGACATTTGGGGGTGCCAGAGGACATTTAGGGGTGTCAGGGGACACTTGGGTGCCATTTGGGGATGTCAGGAGTGACACTGGGGGTGCCAGGGGACGATTTGGGGGTGCCAGGGGACACTGGGGTGCCAGGGGACACTAGGGGGCACGCTGGGGGTGCCAGAGGACATTTGGGGACCACCCCTCTGTGTGTGTCCTCCCCTCCCCAGCTCCCTCCTGGCCTGTCCCCACCTGTGCCACCTGGACCTGTCCTCGTGCCGCCGCCTCCCCCGCGGCACCAAGAGAGTCCCACCGGGGGCGGGGGCGGTGCTGCAGCTGCTGCGGGCCCTGGCCGCGGGGACATCGCCCCAGGACCCCCGCAGCCCCCAGCGACCCCGGGGCGGCCGGGACGAGGAGGAGGAAGAGGAGGAGCCCCGGGCCAGGAGCCCCCGAGGAACCACTCGACGAGGAGCCCCCAAGCCCAAGAGAGCCCCCGAGGATGAGCCCCCCAAAGAGGAGCCCCCAGTGATGAACAACCCAGCCCCAAACCAGGAGTCCCAGGATGAGGCCCCCAAAAAAGGAGCCCCCAACCAAGAGCCCCCAAAGGGAGTCCCCCCGAGAGGAGCCTTCTGATCACGAAGACCCCCGACAAGGAGACCTCCAGGAATGACACCCCCTCAAAGAGAAGCCCCTCAACAAGGCCCTCCCGCACTGAGGATCCCCCTCCCTTATTTCCTCCCTCCCCAGAGGATCCCCAAACGAGGCTCCTCACCGAGCCCTGAACACCCCAAAGCGTTGGGGGCAGAGCCCTCTCTTTGTAGCCCCCATTTTTGTACCCCCCGTTTTTAGACACCCCCCTCCCAGTTTGTACGCCCCCACTTTTGTACCCCCGTTTTGTACCCCCATTTCTGGGGCTCCCCAGTGCTGCAATAAAGGGGTTTGCCCGGGGGTCCCCAGCTGTGCCCCCCGTGGGTGGGGAGAGGCGGGTGGGCGCAGCCGGGCAGGGGCAGGGCCGGGGGCTCTGATGGGCCCCTCCCCAGCTGCGGCCGGGGACCCCCATGGGGGAGGGGGAGGGGTCGTGTGTGTGTCCCCGGGGTCACGCGGGTCGCCCGCGCAGATCCGTTTGTCACCCGCCGGCGGCAGCACGTCATTTGCATATTAATGAGCTTTAATGAGGGGCGGGTCCCCGGGGGACAGAGTGGGGAGGTGGGTGGGGCTGGAGGCCCCGCCCCCAACCAGGACCCAAACTCCCCAGCTGAGCCCGGGGAGAGGGGGATAAAGGGGTGACCCTAGGGCTTGGGGGTGTTCAGGTGGTCCCGGGCACTCGTGGGGCGACCGCTGGGCCTGGGGGGCGACCCCAACACCCGGGGGGCTGCTGGGAGGCCACCCCAGCACCCACTGGGGCAACGTGAGTATTGACTTGGGTGGCACCCCGAGGCACCTTCAAACCTTGGGGGGACGCCAGCCCCCTCGGGCCACCTGGGCACCCGATTGGGCAACCCGGCACCCCAGGTCACCCCCGCCCGGTGCCCCCACCCCCTTTGTGGGTGCCCCCTGTGGCAGCGGGGCTGGCAGCCCCTCCCACCCCCGCCGGGACCCTTAACGAGATGCTAATGAGATGGTAATGAGATGCTAATGAGCCGCCGATTGATTGCCCGCAGCGCGTTGGCCGCAGGGTGGGGAGGGGCAGGCAGCCCCGGGTGAGGAGGGAGCTCACCTGGGGCCCACCTGCCCCCGCGGTGGGGACAGGGGCCCATCTCGCCCCCTCCCCAATTCCCGAGGATTCCCCCCGCCCCCTTTCCCCAATCCATAGCGGGGTCCTGGGGCTCCCATCCCCGTTGTTGCCCCCTATTTTAGGACTCCCCGGGGTCCTGGGGCTCCCAATCTCCCCAATACCGGACACCCTCCCCGGGTCCCAGCGCTCCCCATTCCTCATTTACCGCTTATTGTCACCCCTAATTCCACCCCGAGACTCCCCGGGTCGGTGCTCCCAATAATCCCCCAATCCTGGGGCTCCCTCAGGTCGCGCTTCCCAATTCTCCCCCAAATTCTGGGACTCGGCCGGGTCCTAAAGCTCCCCATTCCCAGTTATTCCCAACACCACCCCGACACTCCACGCAGGTCCTGGTGCTCCCCAATTCCCCCTTCTCGATTTTGGGGCTCCCCTGGTCTTAGTGCTCCCCTTCCCCATTCCCAGCCATTGCCCCCAACACCCCCGGGACTCCCTCCCCAGTTCTGGGGTCTCCCAGGTCCCCGTGCCCCCTTCCCCATTTCCCCCAGCTGTTCCTCCCCACCCCTCCTGGGTGTTCCCCACTTCCTGGTGCTCCCCATTCCGTCCACCCACCCCCAGCACCCCAAATCCCGGCACCCTCCCTTCCCCGCCCCCGCCCGCTCAGGGAGGTCCCCCAGGTCCTTGTGCTCCCCCTTCCCCGTTCCCAGCTATCCCCCACGCTTCTCCAGGACTCCCACAAATCCTCATCCCTTCCCCCTCACTTTGGGGGTCCCCCCTCTCCTGGTGCTCCCCCACCCCTTTCAGCACCATTGTCCCGTCCCCAGCTGGGTCCTGGTGCTCCCCGATTCCACCTCCCAATTCCCGGATTTCCCCAGGTCCCGGCGCTCCCCCAGATCCTGGTGCTCCTCCTTCCCCCCTCCTCCTCTGGGCCTCCCCCGGTTCCTGGTGCTCCCCCCGCAGTCCCCCCCCCATCCTGGGAGTCCCCCGGCTCCCGGCGCGCCTCCATTTCCCTCCCTAATCCTGGGATTTCCCGGGTCCTAGCGCTGCCCCATCCCATCTCCCGCCCCGCTCCCATTCTCCTCATCCAGGGCTTCCCCGGGTCTAGCGCTGCCATTCGGCCATTCCCCCCCGTGACCCCCGGCTCCCAGCGCTGCCCATTCCCGGCCATTCCCCCGCCCGTGACCCCCCGGCTCCCAGCGCTCCCAGTTCCCCCGCCCCCGATTAGGACTCCCCCGGTTCCGGCGCTCCCCATTCATTCCCAGCTATTACTCCCCCCCACGGATCTCCAGCAGGTCCCAGGTCCCCATTAACGCCCCCAGCCTCGCGACCACTCCGGGACCTCCCAGGTCCTAGCGCTCCCCAGTCCCCATTCCACCCCCCTTCCCCTCATCCAGGGCTTCCCGCATCCTGGCGCTCCCCATTCCCCCTTCTCCCCTCAATCCCCCACCCAAATTCTTGGCCTCCCCCGGTCCTGGTGCTCCCTATTTCCATTCCTCCATTCCCAATCCCCCATTCCCCCTCCCAATTCTGGGACTCCCCGGTCCTGTCGCTCCCCCATCCCCATCTCCCCCAGTTCTGGGACTCCCCCATTCCCCGCTATCCCCCATTTCCCCGCGATCCCCCCTCATTCCCCGCTATCCCCCTCATTCCCCGCTATCCCCCCTCGTTCCCCGCTATCCCCCCCTCGTTCCCCGCTATCCCCCCATTCCCGCTATCCCCCTCATTCCCCGCTATCCCCCAGTTCCCAGCGCTCTCCCCGCTCCCGCTCGGTGTCCCCCCGCTCCTCCCCCTCCCCGCAGCGATGGGCGGGGGTCCCAATCCCCTTCCCCTGCCCGCCCCTCGGGCGGTCCCCGCCCGCCCCCTGCCCCCGCCCCCCGCCGTTCCCCGCGGCCGAGCGCCCCGTTTCCCCCGTGTCCCCGTTATAAGCGCGCGGTGCCGGTGCCGGGCTCTCACACGCTCCGGCCGAGCGCAGCGACCGCACCCCTCCCGCACCCCCATCCCGCAGCCCCCCCTCCATCCATCGACCCCATCGCCCCCCTCCCCTCCCGGCGGTCCCGCCCCCCCGCCGCTCTCCGCGGTGCTGAACGGCCGCTGCCCGCGGTGCTGAACGGGCACCGCTCCCCCCGGCCCCAGCACCCCCGCGGGGTCGCACCGCCCCCGCCCCGGTGCCGACCCCGCCGGTCCATGCCCGCCCGCGGGGGGGGTTCGGGAGCCGCCGGGCGCGGCCTCACCGACCACGGACACGGCGGCGGCGGCGGCTGCAGGCGGCCCCGGCCCGGGGCCGGGCGGCCGCGCCCGCCGCACAAAGCCCTAGCTCGGTTCGGCGCCCCCAACGCCCCCCGCCCCGCCGGGGGGGGCCCTTTGTGGCGGCGGGGCCGGGCCCGGTCCCCGGAGGAACCATGCCCAGGTCCTTCCTGGTGAAGAAGGTGAAGCTCGATGACTTCCCCGCCGGCCTCGACGCCCCGTACGGCCGCGCCCGGGCGGATTTCGGCTCCCGGCTGCACGAGAAGGGTAAATACCGAGCGCCGGCGGGAGCGGGGCAGGGCCGCCCGGGAAGCGCCGGGAAGCGCCGGGAAGCGCCGGGAAGCGCCGGCAGCGGCCGCATTCCGCCGGTGCGGCCACAGCGGGGATGGACGGGGCCGGGCCGGGGCCGGGCCGGGGCGGAACCGCGGCAGAACCGCGGCAGAACCGGGGCAGAACCGGGACGGAACGGCGGCAAAACCGGGGCGGAACCGGGACGGAACCGGGGCCCCAGGCCGCCCGTCCCCGCCGCTGCCCTTTGTCTGCGGGAGCCAAGTTCAAGGGCAGCGGCGGCGGCGTTGCGGGGCCCCCGCCGTCCCCGCCGTCCCCGCCGTCCCCATGCCGGCCTTTGTGCGGGGCGGCCCCGGCCGGGCCCGGCGCGGCTGCGGCGCGTTGCGTAACCGGGACCGGCGGAACCGCCGCAGCCGCACCGGGCCCGGCCCGGCCCCGCCGTGACCTTGAGCGGGGCCGGGGCAGCGCCGGCGGCGGGCGGGGAATGCGGGAATGCGGGCACCGGGAATGCGGGAGGGGATGCGGGAAGGGATGGGGATGGGGATGGAGATGGAGCAGGCGGGGACCGCGGCTGCCGGCAGGGGTGGATGGGGACGGGGACAAGGGAAGGGATGGGGATGGGGACGGGGACAGGGGGGTAAGGGCAGGGATGGGGACTGCGGGGACAAGGGAAGGGACAGTGACAGGGAGATAAGGACAGGGATGGGGACAAGGGAAGGGACAGGGAGCCAACGGCAGCGATGGGGACGGGGACTGCGGGGACAGGAACTGCGGGGACAGGGACAAGGGAAGGGACGGGGACAAGGGACAGGATGATAACGGCAGGGGTGAGAGTAGGGACAGGGACAGAGACTGCGGGGACAGCGACAAGGAAAGGGACAGAGACAAGGGGGTAAGGGCAGGGACGGCGACAGGAACTGCGGGGACAGCGGCAAGAGAAGGAACAGGGACATAACGGCAGGGCTGGGGACAGGGCTGGGGACCGGAACTGAGGGGACGGCGACAAGGAAAGGGACAGGGACTTAACGGCAGGGATGGGGACAGGGATGCGGACAGGGACTAGGGGAGAGACAGGGGGATAACGGCGGGGATGGGGACAGGGACAGTGTCCGGGACTGCGGGGACAGGGACAGGGAGAAGGCACTGCGGAGACAGGGACGGGGACGGGGGACAGGGCAGGGATGGGGACAGGGACAGAGACTGCAGGGACGGGGACAAGGGAAGGGACAGGAAGCCAGCGGCAGGGAGGGGGACAGAGACAGGGGCAGAGACAGGGACCGGGACTGCGGAAACAGGGACGGGGACAGGGACAGGAGTAGGGGACAGGGCAGGAGTAGGGGACAGTGGCAAGGGAAGGGACAGGGAGCCGGCGGCAGCGATGGTGACAGGACACGGACAGGATGGGGACAGGGGCTGCAGAGTGGTGACAAGGACAGGGACTAAGGACAGGGATGGGGACAGGGGGCTGCAGAGGGGGACAAGGACAGGGGACTAAGGGCAGGGATGGGGACAGGGACGGGGCAGGAACAGGGACAAGGACGGGGGGATGTGGGCAGAGATGGGGACAGGGAGCCAACGGCAGGGATGGGGACAGGGACGGGACGGGGGAGCGGGACTGGGGACAGGGGGCTGTGGGCAGGGACAAGGGAAGGGACAGGGACAGAGCAGGGGGCTACAGGGCAGGGACAAGGTCGGGGACTGGGACAGGGACAAAGGTAAGGACAGGGCTGGGAGCAGGGACAGGGCTGGGAGCGGGCACGGGGACAGGGGAAGGGACAGAGCCGGGAGGGTCAGGGCAGGGGTGGGGGCTGCGGGAAGGGGCAAGGATGGGGACAGGGGACAGGGGCTGCGGCAGGGGCGGGACAGAGACAGGGACAAGGGGATGGGCAGAGCGGGGACTGCGGGCGGGGACGCGACAGGCGGGGCTGGAGGGGTGCGGGGTTTGGGGGGTGCGGACTCTGGGGGCTCGTGGGGTTTGGGGGGTTTATGGGCTCTGGGGGTGTTTGGGGGCTTTGTTTTGGTGTTTGGGGGGCTTGGGCTGGTGCTTGGGGGTGTTGGTTTGTGGGAGTGCGAGGGGTGTGCGAGGTGCATTGTGGGGTGCCCGAGGGCATTGTGGGGTGCTGGGGGCATTGTGGGGTGCAGAGGGGCCTTGGGGGCTGTGGAAGGGGTCGGGGATGCGCGGGCAGGGCCGGCGACAAGGGACAACTCATCTCGGGAGTGGAGTTGGGAAGAGCGTGGGGGGGGACAGGCAGGGGGACAGCCCGGGGTGGGCAGGGGCACGGGCAGGGCTGGGGGGCGAGGGACAAGGGACAGGGGGAGGTCAGGAGCTGAGTCTGGCACGGGCTGGCAGGGGCACGGGCAGCGGCACGGGCAGGGCTGGGGGACGAGGGACAAGTGATGAGGGAAAGGGAAGGTCAAGAGAAGAGTTGGGCGCAGTCTGGCAGGGGGGACAAGGGACACGGGAGTCAGGAGCTGAGCTGGGCAGTCTGGCGAGGGGCAGGGGGACAGGCGGGGGGGACAAGGCGGGGTTACAGGCAGCGGGGCGGACAGGAGGACGGGCAGGGAACAGGCAGGGGACAGGCAGGTGCTCCCCACACGGTGCCACCAGCCCAGCCCGTGCGTCCCCAGCGCCGCCAGCGCCCTCTGACCGGACCCCCCCCCGCTCTCTCGCCCGCCCCCCAGGGTACATCAGCGACTACATGGCGCCGGCGGCCTTCGAGGGGGACCCCGAGGCCGCGCTGAAGGTGCCGTCCCCGGACGCCCTCTACCCCGGCGGGCGCGGGGACTTCGGCGCGGGGGACTCGGAGCCCCCCGACAGCCCCCACTCGGGCATGGCCGGCGGGTACATCAACGGCGACGCGGCCGTGAGCGAGGGCTACGCCGTGGACGCCTTTTTCATCACGGACGGGCGGTCGCGGCGCAAGGCGGTGGCGGGGCCGGCGCGGAACCTGCCCCGCCACACGTGCGGCGAGTGCGGCAAGAGCTACGCCACCTCCTCCAACCTGAGCCGCCACAAGCAGACCCACCGCAGCCTGGACAGCAAGATGGCCAAGAAGTGTCCCACGTGCGGCAAGGTGTACGTCTCCATGCCGGCCATGGCCATGCACCTGCTGACCCACGACCTGAAGCACAAGTGCCAGGTGTGCGGCAAGGCCTTCAGCCGGCCCTGGCTGCTGCAGGGCCACATGCGCTCGCACACCGGGGAGAAGCCGTTCGGCTGCGCCCACTGCGGCAAAGCCTTCGCCGACCGCTCCAACCTGCGCGCCCACATGCAGACCCACTCCGCCTTCAAGCACTTCAAGTGCAAGCGCTGCAGCAAGACCTTCGCCCTCAAGTCCTATCTCAACAAGCACTACGAGTCCGCCTGCTTCAAGGGGGCCGGGGCGCCCCTCAGCCCCCTGCACCCCTGAGGGAGCCGCGCCCTCCCCCCCCGCCCTTCCCCTCACCCCTCCTCGGCGTGGGATTCACCGGGAGGATCCATCGCGCCCCTCCCCGCCCGTCGACAGCGCACCCACCCACCCTTCGGCAGCCGGGCTGAGAACCCGCCCCGTCCACCTTCGCCTTCCACCAGTTCGCCCTTCGCAGTTCATCTCCCCACCACCCACCCCAAAATCCAGCGGCAGGAAACCCACCGTCAAAATTCGCCCTTCCAAATTCCACCCCCAACACACACACACACACGCTGCGAAAATCGGCCCCCAAAATGTCCGCCGTTAAAACCGGCCCCTCAAAATTGGTCCTTTCAAAATCCGCCCCTCAAAATTCAGCCCTTAAAATTCGCCCCTTAAAATTCACCCCTCAAAGTTCTCACCCCTCCCCCCCAAACCCTCCTAAAATCAGCTACCAAAATCCACTCCCCCCACCCCAAAACCAACCCCGGAAATTCATCCCCCAAATTCACCCCTCAAAATCAGACCACCCCCAAATCCACCCCTCAAAATTGACCCCCAAAAAATTCGTCAGAATTCCGTCCGTTCTCCCCCACCCCAAAAAAAAATCCAGCTGCCAAAACCCACGGTCAAAATCCACCATCCAAATCCAGCCCCTCCTCCCCAAAATCCACCGTCAAAGCCCCACCCCCAAAATTCAGCCCCCCCAAATCCGGTCACCCCAAAATCCAGGCCCCCAAAACCCACCCCCAGTTCCCTCCGGGATCCCCTGCATGTGCCCCCCATCATAAGCCCCCCTCCCCACGCTGCCTTGAAGGGGGTCCCGGGCCTGTGGTGCACCCCAAAATTGGGGGCCCCCCTCTTCTCACAGGGACGTCCTCACGCGGTGGTGCCCCCCCAGCTTGGGGTGACCCCCTTTCTCTGCGAGGGGTGCACCCCCAGATCAGAGTGACCCCCACCCTTGCATGGGTGCCCCCGGGGCCTGTGGCGCCCCCCAAAATCGGGGTGACCCCCCCCCCTTTGCATGGGTGCCTCAGCCTTGTGCCATAGCCCACCCTGGGGTCACCCCCTCTGTGCATGTGGGGCGCACCCTAAAATCGGGGTGACCCCCCCCCCTTTGCATGGGCCCCCCGGTCCTGCGGTGCCCCCCCCAGATCGGGGTGACCCCCCCGCTCTGCGAGGGCGCCCCCGCCCTGTGCCATAGCCCACCCTGGGGTCACCCCCTCCTGCGCACGGACGGGGCACCCCAAAATCGGGGTGACCCCCCCCTCCAGCCTTGTGTGGGGTGCCCTGACCCTGTGGGACCCCCACCAAAACCAGGGTGACCCCCTGCCCCCCCATTGACGGGCGCCCGGCCTCACGCCATAACTCGCCCCGGGGTGCCCCCCGCACTGCACCCCAAAACCAGGGTCCCCCTTTGCATGGGTACCCTGGCCTCGCGCCGTGCCCCGAGATCAGGTTGAACCCCCTTTGCAAACCCCTGACCTCGGGTGCCCCTCGCTGCGAGGGTGCCCCCAGAGCACCCGGGAGCCCCCCGGCCGGGGCCCCCTCCTGTGCCCGCACCCCGAGCCCGGGGTGCCCCCATGCATGGGTGCCCCGCCCTGTGCCGTCCTCCCACATCAGGGTGCCTCCCTTGTAGGGTCCCCGGGTGCCCCCGCAATAAGCCCCCTCCCCGCACGGCACAGCGACCCCGGGCAGCTCCTGGGGCACCCAGCCCCCCCAGGTACCCCCACCTGGGGACCCCCTGCATGGCCCTCCCCCCGGGCACCCTACCATGGCAGGGTACCCCCACCCTGGGTGCCCTCACACCCGGGGACCCCCACTTTGGGTGCCCCCCTTTGGGGGCCCCGCGGGGCCCCCATCCGTGCATGGCCCCTCCCCCGGGTACCCCAACTTTGCACGGGTACTCCCACTCAGGTACCCCCACCCTGGGGACCCCCCGACCTCGGGTACACCCATATTGCAGGGTACCCCCGGTACCCCCGGGTACCCCCTGGGTACCCCAACACTTTCAGGGTGCTCCCCGGGTACCCCCACCTCGGGTACCCCCAGGTACCGCCCCCTGCGCACGGGTACCCCCGCAGGGCACCTGGGGTCCCCACCACCCTTAGAGGGGACCTCCCACCTTGGGGACACTCCAAATCCCCCTGAGGGGCTGCTCCGCCTCCCCACTGCGGGCGCCCTTCCTGAGAGCACAAACCCCCTTTGCCCCCCACCCCCAAAAACCCCCCGGGATTTCGGGGCGGCCCCAGCGCCCCTCCCCTCCTCCCCCCGCGATGCCAAAGTCTGAAGGGAGGGGGAGGGGGAAAGGGCCCCTCCCCGCCGCCCCTCCTCCGGGGTCTCTGCATGCAAAAACCAGCCCCCCCTCCCCCCTTCCCCCAATTTCCATCTATGCCAATTTTTGATGCTTTTTCGGTTTTTTTGAGGATTTTTTTGCGTTGCCAAACTGTAGATCCGCGGGCGCCGCCCGCTCTAGAGCAATAATTAATTACCGTAATTACCGACTAATTACCGACCGCATGGGCTCGAGCAATCAGGGACCCCCGAGCCAGCCCCTTAGAGCGACCGATATCAGGGATGATGCCAGAGTAGCGCTAGGACCCCCCCCGACCCCCCCGCACCCGCCGGGACAAGGACACGCCTCGGACACGCCTCGGACACGCCTCGGACACGCCCGGGACGCACCTGGGACACACCTGGGACACACCTGGGACACACCTGGGACACGCGCGGGGCCGCGGGAGGCGCGGGGAACAGCGGGGCGCGCGGGGAGGGGGCGCGGGGGCTGCACGGCTTGGGCAGGCGGAGCGTCTGGACACGCAGGGACACCTGCACACATCTGTACACACCTGTACACACCTGCACACGTCATCTGTACTCACCTGTACACACCTGCATACACCTGCACACATCATCTGTGCACACCTGCACACACCTGCACACACCTGCATACACCTACATACACCTGCATACACCTGCACACACCTGCACACACCTGCATACATCTGTACACACCTGCACACGTCATCTGTACACACCTGCACACACCTGCACACACCTGCACACGTCATCTGTGCACACCTGCACACATCTGTGCACACCTGCACACGTCATCTGTACACACCTGTACACACCTGCACACACCTGCACACATCATCTGTGCACACCTGCACACACCTGCACACACCTGCATACAACTACATACACCTACTCATACCTGCACACACCTGCACACACCTGCACACACCTGCACACACCTGCACACACCTATGCATACATACATGTACCTACGGGGACACCTGTATACACCTGCACACACCTGCACACACCTGTACATGCAGGGACACCTGCACACGCCTGCACACATCTGTACACACCTGCACACACCTACACACACCTACACACACCTGCACACACCTGTACACACCTGTACACACCTACACACACCTGTACATGCAGGGACACGTGTGGACCTACGGGGACACCTGCACACACCTGCACACACCTGTACACACCTGCACACACCTGCACACACATGCACATACAGGGACACACCTGTACACACCTGCACACACCTGCACACACCTGTACATACATGTGTGTACCTACAGGGACACGCTGCACACACATGGCACACACCTGCACACACCTGTACAAACCTGCACACACCTGCACACACATGCACATACAGGGACACACCTGTACACACCTGCACACACCTGCACACACAGGCACTCACCTGTGCACACAGGTACACACGTGGGCAGGCTGCTCTGGCCTGTACACACCTGTACACACCTGCACACACCTGTCCACACAGGGGCACGCAGGTGACTCACCTGGGCACACGTGTACACATCCTGCACACACCTGCACACATAGGTATGTACACACGTGTGTGCACACAGGTATGCACCTGTACACACAGGTACACACCTGCACTCACAGGTACACACCTGCACTCACCTGCACACGCATCAACAGCCCCAGTGGGTGCTGGGCACTCACCTGCTACACCCTCACCTGTCACACACTGCCCCGCCCGCACACGGGCACGGCACGCACACAGTGCACACCTGCACACACCTGGCACACACCTGCACACACCTGCATACACCTGCACACACATGCACATACCTGCACACACCTGCACACACCTGCACACACCTGCACACTCAGAGCACACACCTGCACACACCTGGACACACCTGGACACACCTGCACACGCATGGACACACAACTACACGTGCCATACCTCCTGCACACACCTGCACACACCTGAGCACACCTCCACATTCTCACTGCACCTGTGCAGGTGCTGCAGGCGCTGCTCTCCCTGCACACACCACACGCTGCTGCTGCTGCTGCACACAGCTGAGCACACCTGAGCACACCTGAGCACGCCCTAACACACCTGAGCACACCCTAACACACCTGCACACACCTGCACATACTTGAACACACCTACATTCCACCTGCACTCACCTGAGCACACCTGCACACACCACAGGCGCTGCACACGCTGCTGATGCTGCACACACAGCACACACCTGAACACACCTGAACACACCTGCACACACCACAGGCGCTGCACACGCTGCTGATGCTGCACACACAGCACACACCTGAACACACCTGCTCATACCTGAACACACCTGCACACACACAGGTGCACTCACCTGCACACACAGCACACACCTGCACACACCTGAACACACCTGCGCTCACCTCACACCCCTGCACTCACCTGAACACACCTGAGCACACCTAAGCGCACCTGCACACGCCTCACACCCCTCACGCAGAGCACCCCCTGCGAGCCCTGCGCTCCGTGCAGGTGCCGCAGGTTTTGCAGGTGCCGCGGGTGCCGCACTCACCGCACCCACCACACACCACACCCACCGCACACCGCACCCACCACACCCACCACACACCGCACCCACCACACACCGCACCCACCACACACCGCACCCACCACACCGCACCCACCACACACCTCACACCGCACCCGCCGCACACTGCACTCACCACACACGCACACCACCACACACCACACCACACACCCGCACCCACACCACACCGCACACACACCACACCGCACACCACCACACACCTCCACTGCACCCACACACACCACCTCACCACACACGCACCCACCACACACACACCCACACACACCACCCACCGCACACCACACGCACACCACCCACCCCACACCACACCCACCACACACACACCACACCTCACACACACCGCACCCACCACACACGCACCCACCACACACACACCACCACACACACACACCCACCGCACACTGCACCCACCGCACCCACCACACACCACACACCGCACCACACACACACACCACACCGCACCCACCACACACTGCACACCGCACCACACACCACACACCGCACCCACACACCACCACACACCACACACCGCACCACCACACACCACACACCGCACCCACCACACACCACACACCTCACACCGCACACCGCACCCACCGCACCACACCACCACACACCGCACCCACCACCACACACACCTCACACCGCACACCGCACCACCGCACACCACTACCCACCGCACCACCGCACCCACCACCACACTGCACCCACCCACCACACACCGCACACCGCACCCACCACACACCAGCACCTCACACCGCACACCGCACCCACCACACACCGCACCCACCACACACCACACCCACCGCACACCGCACCCACCACACACCGCACCCACCACACACCACACCCACCACACACCACACCCACACCGCACCCACCACTACTCCGCACCCACCACACCCACCGCACACCACACACCACACACACACCCACCACACCGCACACCGCACCCACTGCACCGCACACGCACCCACCGCACTCACCACACACCGCACACCGCACCCACCGCACTCACCACACACGCACCCACCGCAGCCGCCGCAGCCGTCTGCCTCCCCTCAGCCCCCAGGTTCCCCCTCCGCCCGGGACCCCCGACCGGCCGGCGGGACCCCTGCACCGCACCGGGCCGGGACCCCCGACCCCCCGTGCCCCCCCAGATTCAGGTACTGCAGGACCGGGAGCTTCGACCTCGTTTTGTACTCGCGGGCGGGGGTCCCACGCGGGTCCCACCCTGGGGGGTCCTCCTCCCCACCCCGGGCCCGCCGCGGAGCGCTCCCGGGAATTTTTCGCGGATTTGAGGGATTTCAGGACAAGCACAAACGGCCCCCGCGGCCCCCCCGGCCCCGCGGCCCCGCGGCCAATAAAGGGACGAACCTGCACCCGCCTGAGCCTCCGCTGCGCCGAACCCGAGGACCCCCACCCGCGGACCCTACCTGCGGGACCCCCACCCGCGGGACCCCCACCCCAGCACCCCACCCGCGGGACCCCCACTCGCGGGACCCCACCCGCCGGGACCCCCACTCGTGAGACCCCCATCCGTGGGACCCCCACCCGCGGGACCCCACCCGTGGGACCCCCACTCGTGGGACCCCCATCCGCGGGACCCCCGCCCGCAGGACCCCCACCCGTGGGACCCCCACTCGTGGGACCCCACTCCGGCACCCCCACCTGCGGACTCCCACTCGCGGGACCCCGCCCGCAGGACCCCCACTCGCGGGACCCCATCCCAGCACCCCCACCCCGCAGGACCCCCACCCGCAGGACCCCCCTGCGGACCCCACTCCCGGCACCCCCACCCGCGGGACCCCACTCGCGGACCCCCACCCGCGGGACCCCACTCGCGGGACCCCCATCCCGGCACCCCACCCCGCGGGACCCCCACCCGCGGGGCCCCCACTCGCGGGACCCCACCCAGCACCCCCACCCGCGGGACCCACTGCCAGGACCCCCAACCCGCAGGAAACCCTACACCCTTCCTGCCCCGGGACCTCTGAGACCACAGGACCCTCTCACACCCACAGGACCCCCACTCGGGAACCCCCACCCACAGGACCCCTGAACGGGCCAGGACCCCACCCCCACCTGGCTCCCTGGACTTTCGGGATCTCCGGCCCGTGGGATCCCAGGTACCCCCTACCCACGGGACCCCCACCCACGGGACCCCCACCCACGGGGACCCTCACCCACGGGACCCCCTACCCACGGGACCCCTACCCACGGGACCCTCACCCACGGGACCACTCCCCACGGGACCCCCTACCCACGGGATCCCCACCACGGGACCCTCACCACAGGACCCCTACGCCACGGGACCCTCACCCACGGACCTCACCCGGACCCCCACCACGGGATCCCCACCCACGGACCCCCGACACTACCGACACCCTCTGACCCACGGGCCCCCGATCCACGGGCCCCTCCCCACCAGTGTCCCCTCCCGGCCCCTCCACGGCCGCCCGCCCCATAAATAGCGCGGGGCCCTGACCTGCTGCCCCACGCGTATTTTTAGCTCCGGCGTCAGCGCCGCGCGAGGGAGGGGCTCGACCCCCCGGTCCCCCTCGCCAAAGAAACCCCGGTGTGGGGCTGGATGTGGGGACTGGGGGACTGGGGGGACTGGGAGTCAGGGGCTCTGGTGTTCCTCAGGCCTCTCCCGGCCCCACGTCCCGGGGTGCCCCATATGTCGAGGGTCCTTGGGCCCCCGTCCAGGATTGCCCCACGTCCCGGGGTGCCCGCGTCCCAGGGTTGTCCACGTCAGGGATTGTCCACGTCCCGGGGTGCCCCCATCTCAAGGGTTCCCCACATCCGGGTTGTCCACGTCCGGGATTGTCCCACGTCGGGGTGCCCGTGTGCCAGGGTGCCCACATCTCAAGGGTTCCCACATCCAGGGGTGCCCCGGTTCTCGGGGTCCTCCCAGCCCCTCCTGGCCCCACATCCCGGGGTGCCTCATCTCAGGGTTCCCCATATTCCAGGAGTACCCCACATCCCAGGGTTCCTCACATCCCAGGGTTCCCCACATCCCGGGAGTACCCTGGATACCGGGGGTCTTTGGGCCCCAGTTCCCGGGAGTGTCCCCTCTCCTGGGTGTCCCCGGGCACCTCTCCGGCCCCACATCCCGGTGGAGTCGGGCCCCCTCCCCGGCCCCATCCCGGGGTGTCCCTCTCCTAGGTGTCCCCGGGCCCCTCCCGACCCCACATCCCGGGGGTGTCCCCTTTCCTGGGTGTCCCCGGGTCCCTCCCCAGCCCCACATCCCGGGGGTGTCCCGGGCCCCTCCCTGACCCCACATCCCGGGGGTGTCCCCGGGCCCCTCCCAGCCCCACATCCCGGGGTGTCCCAGGCCCCTCCCGAGCCCACATCCCGGGGTGTCCCAGGGCCCGCCCTCCCCAGCCCACATCCAGGGGTGTCCCCAGGCCTCCCGACCCTATATCCAGGGTGTCCCAGCCCACGTCAGGGGTGTCCCCGGGCCCCTCCTGACCCCACATCCAGGGGTGTCCCCAGCCCTACATCCAGGGGTGTCCCCGGCCTCCACATCCCAGGGTGTCCCCGGCCCCACATCCAGGGTGTCCCCAGGCCTCCTGACCCCACATCCAGGGTGTCCCCAGCCCACATCCAGGGGTGTCCCCGTGCCCCCTCCGACCCCACATCCAGGGGTGTCTCGGAGCCCCTCCCGGCCCCACATCCGGGGTGTCCCAGGCCCCTCCGACCCACATCCCGGGGTGTCCCGGGCCCCTCCGAGCCCCACATCCCGAGGGTGTCCGGGCCCTCCCGACCCCACATCCCGGGGTGTCCCCGGGTCCCTCCCAGCCCACATCCCAGGGGTGTCCCCAGGGCCCTCCGGCCCCACATCCCAGGGGTGTCCCACTCTCCTGGGTGTCCCCGGGCCCCTCCCTGACCCCACATCAGGGGTGTCCCCGGCCCCACATCCCAGGGGTGTCCCCAGGCCCCTCCCAGCCCCACATCCCAGGGGTGTCCGGGGCCCTCCCGACCCCACATCCCAGGGTGTCCCCAGGCCCTCCCCGGCCCCATCCCAGGGGTGTCCAGGGCCCTCGACCCACATCCGGGGGTGTCCCCGACCCCACATCCCGGGGTGTCCCAGGCCCCTCCCGGCCCCACATCCGAGGGTGTCCCGGGCCCCTCCCGACCCACATCCAGGGTGTCCCCAGGCCCCTCCTGACCCCACATCCCGGGGTGTCCCCAGGCCCCTCCAGCCCCACATCCCGGGGGTGTCCCGGGCCCCTCCCCGGCCCCACATCCCGGGGGTGTCCCCGGGCCCCTCCCCAGCCCCACATCCCGGGGGTGTCCCGGGCCCCTCCCCGGCCCCACGCGGGGTGGGGGCGACCTTGGCGGCGAGGATAAGAGGGGGCTGTGCCGGGGGTGGGCGCAGCCATGGGCGCCCCGGGCTGGGTGTGGGGCCGGGGGGCGCGGCGGGCGCTGAGCTCGGGGGGTCCCCCGGCCGAGGGGGGGGTGCGACCCTTCGAGGAGATCCCCCGAGCCGGCTCCAACCGCTGGGTCAACCTCCTGCGCCTCTGGAGCCGGGGGGGCTTCCAGGACTTCCACCTGCGCATGGAGGGGGGCTTCCAGCGCCTCGGACCCGTCTACAGGTGGGGATCCCCCCCGGGGGGGTGGGACACGGCGGGGGGGGCAGATCGGTGACCCCAAACCATGCCGGGGACCCCCGCGGTGGAGGGACACGGGGGGTGGTGACAGGGACCCCCGGGGGGGCTTCCAGAGCCTCGCACCCCTCTACAAGTGGGGACACCCCCCGAGATGGTGACCAGGGACCCCAAACCATCCCAGGGACCCCAAACCATCCCAGGGACCCCAAACCATCCCAGGGCCCCCAAACCACCCCAAGGACCTCAAACCACCCCAGGGACCCCAAACCATCCTAGGGCCCCCAAACAATTCCAGGGACCCCAAACCACCCCAGGGACCCCAAACCATTCCAGGGACCCCAGAGCATTCCAGGGCCCCCAAACCACCCCAGGGACCTCAAACCACCCCAGGGACCTCAAACCATTCCAGGGACCCCAAACCATCCTAGGGCCCCCAAACAATTCCAGGGAACCCAAACCACCCCAAGGACCTCAAACCACCCCAGGGACCTCAAACCATTCCAGGGACCCCAAACCATCCCAGGGACCCCAGACCATTCCAGGGCCCCCAAACCATTCCAGGGCCCCCAAACCACCCCAGGGATCTCAAACCATCCTAGGGCCCCCAAACAATTCCAGGGACCCCAGACCATTCCAGGGACCCCAAACCACCCCAGGGACCCCAGACCATTCCAGGGCCCCCAAACCATTCCAGGGACCTCAAACCATTCCAGAGACCCCAAACCATTCCAGGGACCTCAAACCATTCCAGGGCCCCCAAACCACCCCAGGGCCCCCAAACCATTCCAGGGACCTCAAACCATTCCAGAGACCCCAAACCATTCCAGGGACCTCAAACCATTCCAGAGACCCCAAACCATTCCAGAGACCCCAAACCATTCCAGGGACCTCAAACCATTCCAGGGCCCCCAAACCACCCCAGGGACCCCAAACCATTCCAGGGCCCCCAGACCATTCCAGGGACCCCAAACCATTCCAGGGACCTCAAACCATTCCAGGGACCTCAAACCACCCCAGGGACCCCAAACCATTCCAGGGCCCCCAGACCATTCCAGAGACCCCAAACCACCCCAAGGACCCCAAACCATTCCAGGGACCTCAAACCACCCCAGGGACCCCAAACCATTCCAGGGCCTCCAGACCATTCCAGGGACCCCAAACCATTCCAGGGACCTCAAACCATTCCAGAGACCCCAAACCATTCCAGGGACCTCAAACCATTCCAGGGCCCCCAAACCACCCCAGGGCCCCCAAACCATTCCAGGGACCTCAAACCATTCCAGAGACCCCAAACCATCCCAGGGCCCCCAAACCACCCCAGGGACCCCAAACCACCCCAGGGACCCCAAACCATTCCAGGGACCCCAAACCATCCCAGGGACCCCAAACCATCCCAGGGCCCCCAAACCATCCCAGGGCCCCCAAACCACCCCAAGGACCTCAAACCACCCCAGGGACCCCAAACCATTCCAGGGACCCCAAACCATCCCAGGGACCTCAAACCACCCCAGGGACCCCAAACCACCCCAGGGACCTCAAACCACCCCAGGGACCTCAAACCATCCTAGGGCCCCCAAACAATTCCAGGGACACCAAACCATCCCAGGGCCCCCAAACCATTCCAGGGACCTCAAACCACCCCAGGGACCTCAAACCATCCTTGGGCCCCCAAACAATTCCAGGGACACCAAACCATCCCAGGGACCCCAAACCATCCCAGGGCCCCCAAACCATTCCAGGGACCTCAAACCACCCCAGGGACCTCAAACCATCCTTGGGCCCCCAAACAATTCCAGGGACCCCAAACCATTCCAGGGACCCCAAACCATTCCAGGGACCTCAAACCACCCCAGGGACCCCAAACCACCCCAGGGACCCCAAACCACCCCAGGGACCCCAAACCATCCCAGGGACCCCAAACCATCCCAGGGACCCCAAACCATCCCAGGGACCCCAGACCATTCCAGGGACCCCAAACCATCCCAGGGACCCCAAACCATCCCAGGGCCCCCAAACCACCCCAAGGACCTCAAACCATCCCAGGGACCCCAAACCATTCCAGGGACCCCAAACCATCCCAGGGACCCCAAACCATTCCAGGGACCCCAAACCACCCCAGGGACCTCAAACCATCCTAGGGCCCCCAAACAATTCCAGGGACACCAAACCATCCCAGGGACCCCAAACCATTCCAGGGACCTCAAACCACCCCAGGGACCCCAAACCATTCCAGGGACCCCAAACCATTCCAGGGACCTCAAACCATTCCAGGGACCCCAAACCATTCCAGGGACCCCAAACCATCCCAGGGACCCCAGACCATCCCAGGGACCCCAAACCATTCCAGGGCCCCCAAACCATTCCAGGGCCCCCAAACCATCCCAGGGACCCCCAGGGCGGGGGGACGCCCTTGGGTGGGTGGTCTCAGTTTTTCTCTGTCCCATCCCGGTTCCCCCAAGGTGGGTGGTCCCCACTGACCCCGATCCCCTCATTTGGGGGTCCCTCTTTTGGGGTGCAGGGGGTGGGTGGGCTCCCTGGGCTGGGTGGTCCCTGTTGAACCCTCGTTTGGGGGTCCCACCGATGGGGGCCCGGTTTTGGGGGCCCATTTGGGGTCCTAGTGATGGGCTCCCTGTGTTTGGGGGTCCCACTGCTGGGGTCCCTGTTTTAGGATCCAGTTGGGCTTCCCACCGATGGGGTCCCCGTTTTGGGGGCGCAGGGAGTGGGGGGGGCTCCCCGGGCTGGGTGTTCCCATTAACCCCGTGCATGCCCCAATCCGGGGGTCCCCGTTTTTGGGGCACAGGGATTTGGGGGGGCTCCCTGGGTTGGGTGTTCCCATTAACCCCGTGCATGCCCCAATCCGGGGGTCCCCGTTTTTGGGGCGCAGGGAGCTGGGGGACACTCTGTGCTCAGTGTTCCCATTAACCCCGTGCATACCCCAACTCGGGGGTCCCCGTTTTTGGGGCGCAGGGAGCAGGGACTCTCCCTGGACTGGGTGTTCCCATTAACCCCGTGCCTGCCCCAATCCGGGGATCCCCGTTTTGGGGCACAGGGATTTGGGGGGGCTCCCTGGACTGGGTGTTCCCATTAACCCCGTGCATGCCCCAACCCGGGGGTCCCCGTTTTTGGGGCGCAGGGATTTGGGGGGGCTCTCTGGGCTGGGTATTCCCATTAACCCCGTGCATGCCCCAACTCGGGGGTCCCCGTTTTTGGGGCACAGGGAGCAGGGACTCTCCCCGGGCTGGGTGTTCCCATTAACCCCGTGCGTGCCCCAACTCGGGGGTCCCCGTTTTTGGGGCGCAGGGAGCGCGTGGGTTCCCTGGACTGCGTGAACGTGCTGCTGCCCCGGGACGCGGCTCAGCTGCTGCGGGCAGAGGGGCCCTTCCCCCGCAGGATGGGCATCGCCGCCTGGAGCGCCCACCGCAGCCTGCGCGCCCACCGCTGCGGGCTCTTCCTCCTGTGAGACCCCCACACACCCGGGGGCACGGGGATGGGGGCACGGGGGGCACTGGGATGAGCAATGGGGGCAGGGGCACAGGGGGCACTGGGATGGACAGTGGGGGCAGGGGCACAGGGGACACTGGGATGGGGGCACGGGGGGCACTGGGATGAGCAGTGGGGGACAGGAGGCACTGGGATGGGCAGTGGGGGCACAGAGGGCACTGGGATGGAGGCACAGGGGGCACTGGGATGAGCAGTGGGAGGCAGGAGGCACTGGGATGGGCAGTGGGGGGTACAGAGGGCACTGGGATGGAGGCACGGGGGGGCACTGGGATGGGCAGTGGGGGGCAGGAGGCACTGGGATGGGCAGTGGGGTCACAGAGGGCACTGGGATGGAGGCACGGGGCACTGGGATGAGCAGTGGGGGGCACAGAGGGTACTGGGATGGGCAGTGGGGGCAGGGGGCACGGGGATGGGGGCACTGAGGGTACCTGGGAAATTGGGGGCACAGAATGGGGGGCACTGGGATGGAAGCACTGGGGGGGGCACAGAGGGCACGGGGGGGCACTGGGAGCACTGGGAGGCACTGGGAGCACTGGGGGCAGAGGGATGGGGATAGTGGGGGCGTGCGGGGGCAGAGCGCTGGGGGCAGAGGGGGAGTTAAGTGGGGGCAGCGGTGACAACCCCCCTGCTCTGCCCCTGACCCGTCCCTGACCCCGTGTGACGCCCGGGTCCCCCACCTAAGACCCCCGTGACCTCCCCCTCCACGCCCTCCCCTGTGGGACCCCCTGACACCGTTTTTGGGGTGATTTGGGGCAGGAACGGCCCCGCGTGGCGCTCCAACTGCCCGTCCCTGCCCCCCTCCTGACCCCATGTCCCCGTTTTTGGGGTGATTTGGGGCAGGAACGGCCCCGCGTGGCGCTCGGACCGCCTGGCGCTGAACCGGGCCGTGCTGTCCCCGGAGGGGGCCCGCAAATTCCTGCCCCTCCTGCACTCCGTGGCGCGGGACTTCGCCGAGTCCCTGCGGGGCCGCGTGCGCGGGACCCCCGGGGGGGCCCTGACCATCGACCCCCACCCCCTGCTCTTCCGCTTCACCCTCGAGGGTGCGTGGGACCCCCGGGGGGGGGGCGGCGCTGGGACCCCCGGGGGAGGGAGGTGGTTTAGTGGGACCCCGGGGGGAGGTGGCTTAGTGGGACCCCCGCGATGGGGGACGATGGGACCCCCAGGACGCCCGAGGATGGGGGGGAGGGGGAGGTGACAGGGGGGTCCCCAAGCGAGGGGGAGGTGATAGTGGGACCCCCAGGGGATTGGGGGGTGACCCTGGGACCCCCAGGGGACTGGGGAGGGTGACAGTGGGACCCCTGGGGATGAGGGGGGTGACAATGGGACCCTGTGGGACCCTCGGGGATTGGGGGGGTGAAAATGGGACCCTGTGGAACCCCGGGGATTGAGGGGGTGAAAATGGGACCCTGTGGGACCCCCGGGGAAGGGGGGGTGACAATGGGACCCTGTGGGACCCCCGGGGGATTGAGGGGGGGTGACAATGGGACCCTGTGGGACCCCGGGGGATTGAGGGGGTGACAGTGGGACCCTGTGGGACCCCAGGGAAGGGGGTGACAATGGGACCCTGTGGGACCCCCGGGGGATGAGGGGGTGACAATGGGACCCTGTGGGACCCCCGGGGGATTGAGGGGGGGTGACAGTGGGACCCTGTGGGACCCCCGGGGGATTGGGGGGGGTGAAAATGGGACCCTGTGGGACCCCCAGGGGGATTGAGGGGGTGACAATGGGACCCTGTGGGACCCCTGGGGATGAGGGGTGACAATGGGACCCTGTGGGACCCCGGGGGATTGAGGGGGTGACAGTGGGACCCTGTGGGACCCCAGGGGATGAGGGGGGTGACAATGGGACCCTGTGGGACCCCGGGGATTGAGGGGTGACAGTGGGACCCTGTGGGACCCCGGGGGAAGGGGGGGGGGCTGCCAGTGGCGTCCCCAGTGGATGGAGGGGATACCAGTGGGACCCTCAAGGGTTGGGGTTGCTAACGATGACCCCCTCCCAACAGCCAGAACCCCAAGGGGTGGGGAGGGGGTGTCAATGGGACCCTCAGGACCCTCAGGGGACGGGGAGATGACAGGCGTCCCACCCCAATTTCGGGTGCTGACGGTGCCCCCGCCCCCAGCCAGCAGCTACGCCCTGTACGGGGAGCGCCTGGGGCTGCTGGGGAGGCGGCGGGGGGGGCGCAGCGGTTCCTGGGGGCGCTGGAGGAGATGCTGAGGACCACCCTGCCCCTGCTCTTCCTGCCGCCCCCCCTGCTGCGCCTGCACCCCCCGCTCTGGCGCCAGCACCTGCAGGCCTGGGACACCATCTTCCAGCACGGTGAGGGGGGGGCCGCGACCCCCCGAGGGACCCCCACCCTGCGGGGACCCCCCTGTGGGACCCCCACCCTGCGGGGACCACCCTGTGGGACCCCCTTCCTGTGGGACCCCCATCCTGTGGGACCCCCCATCCTGCGGGGACCCCCCTGTGGGACCCCCACCCTGCGGGGACCCCCTGTGGGACCCCCACCCTGAGGGGATCACCCTGTGGGACCCCCATCCTGTGGGACCTCTACCCTGTGGGAACACCTCTTATGGGACCCCCATCCTGTGGGACCCCCCCCTGCGGGGATCACCCTGTGGGACCCCCATCCTGTGGGACCCCCATCCTGCGGGGACCACCCTGTGGGACCCCCACCCTGTGGGAACACTCCCTGTGGGACCCCCATCCTGTGGGACCCCCACCCTGCGGGAACACTCCCTGTGGGACCCTCACCCTCTGGGAACACCCCCTGTAGGACCCCCACCCTGCGGGGATCACCCTGTGGGACCCCCACCCTGTGGGAACACCCCTTGTGGGACCCCCACCCTGTGGGGATCACCCTGTGGGACCCCTACCCTGTGGGAACACCCCCTGTAGGACCCCCTACCCTGTGGGGATCACCCTGTGGGACCCCCACCCTCTGGGAACACCCCCTGTGGGACCCCCACCCTGCGGGGATCACCCTGTGGGACCCCCACCCTGCGGGGATGGCCCCCTGTGGGACCCCCACCCTGTGGGGATCACCCTGTGGGACCCCCACCCTGTGGGGACACTCCCTGCGGGACCCCCACCCTGTGGGAACACCCCTTGTGGGACCCCCACCCTGTGGGACCCCCACCCTGTGGGGATCACCCTGTGGGACCCCCACCCTGTGGGAACACCCCTTGTGGGACCCCCACCCTGTGGGGACACTCCCTGTGGGACCCCCACCCTGTGGGAAATCCCCCCGGGGAACCCCCATCCCGTGGGACCCCCCCCTCCCCTACCCTAGAAGACCCCCTCGCCCTGTGGGACCCCCTGCCCCCCCGCTTTGGAATCCCTCCTCCTTGAGGCCCTCCTGCCCCCCACCTTGAGACCCCCACCCTGTGTGACCCCCACCCTGTGGGTTGCTCAGGGCACCCTGCGCCCCCTGCACCCACGGGGGTGGTCGTTGTGCCCCTCTCCCCGGCACTGGGAGACCCCGATGGGTGGTGGGGGGTCAGGAGGGGGTCCGGCGCCCCCACCCCTGATGGTGCCCCCCGCAGCTGACGAGAACATCCAGCGCATCTACCGCGAGTTCTGCCGGGGACCCTGCGGGGCCCGGGGGCGGCCGGGGGTCCTGGCCGAGCTGCTGCTCCAGGGGCAGCTCCCCTCCCTCCATCAAAGCCAACGTCACCGAGTTCACCGCGGGGGCGTCGACACCGTGAGGGGCACGGGGGGCACGGGGGCGTGGGGGGACACAGGGGCTGAGGGGGACATGGGGAGGGGGAGCGGCGAGGGGGGCACGGGGAGGGGGCAAAGACCGGGGTAAATTGGGCACGGGGTTGGGGACATGGGGGTCGGGGTAGGTGGCACTGTGGGGGTCCTGGGGGCAGAGGAGGGGGTCTCATTGTGTGTGGTCCCCCCCAGACGGTGATCACGCTGCTGCTGAGCTGGGGACTGTTTGGGGGTCTCACGGGGGTTCAGGGGGTGTTCATTGTGGGATCACTCTGGGGGTCCCGGGGTCTCAGCTGTGTGTCCCCCCAGACGGCGATCCCGCTGCTGTTCACGGGGTTCATTGTGGGGTCACTCGGGGGGCACTCTGGGGGTCCCGGAGGGGTCCCGGGGGTCTCAGCCGTGTCCCCCAGACGGCGATCCTGCTGCTGTTCACGCTGTTCGAGCTTGGGGGTTGTTTGGGGGTCTCACGGGGGTTCAGTGGGGGCGTTCATTGTGGGGTCACTGTGAGGGTCCCGGAGGGGTCCTGGGGTCTCACTGTGTCTCCCCCCAGACGGCGATCCTGCTGCTGTTCACGCTGTTCGAGCTGGGTCGGAACCCGGGGGTGCAGCGGGCGCTGCGGGACGAGCTCCGCGCGGCCGGGGGGGTCCCCGGGGTCCCCGAGGGGGGCGAGGGGCCCAGGCCCTGGCCGAGCTCCTGGGGGCGCTCCCGCTGCTGAGAGCGGCCATCAAGGAGACCCTGAGGTGGGCCGGGGGCACTGGGGGCACTAAGAAGGGCACTGGGAGCTGAGAACTGGGGGAACTGGGAGGGACTGGCACCACTGTGGGGGAATTGGGGTGGCACCGGGGGCTGGGAGAACTGGGAGGGTTGGGGGCTGAATACCGGGGGAGGGCACTAGGGGTTGAATACTGGGGGACTGGGGGCACTGGGGGTCCTGGAGAGAGTGGGAGGCTGTGTGGGCACTGGGAGGGCCGGGCACTGGGAGCGCTGGGGTGGCACTGGGGGACTGGGGCACTGGGGTCCTGGAGAGAGTGGGAGGCTGTGTGTGGCACTGGGAGGGCCGGGGACTGGGGAACTGGGTATGGCACTGGGGGACTGGGACATCTCTGGGGCACTGGGGACTGGAGAGAGGAGTGGGGGCTGGGCACTGGGAGGGACGGGCACTGGGAGGGCTGGGGTGGCACTGGGGGACTGGGGGTACTGGGGGTCCTGGAAAGGGTGGGGGCTGTGTGGCACTGGGGAACTGGGGATGGCACTGGGGGACTGGGACATCTCTGGGGGCACTGGGGTCCTGGAGGAGAGGAGTGGGGGCTGTGTGGCACTGGGAGGGACGGCACTGGGAGGGCTGGGGGTGGCACTGGGGGACTGGGGGTACTGGGGGTCCTGGAGAGGGTGGGGGCTGTGTGGGCACTGGGGAACTGGGGATGGCACTGGGGGACTGGGGCATCTCTAAGCATTGGGGTCCTGGAGAGGGTGGAGGGTCGTGTTGGCACGGGGCTGGGCACTGGGGGAACTGGGGAGCGCTGGGGATGGTACTGGGGTACTGGGGCATCTCTGGGGGCACTGTGGGTCCTCGAGAGGGTGGGGCACACTGACCCCTCCCCATCCCGCCCCCCAGGCTGTACCCGGTGGGCATCACGGTGCAGCGGTACCCGGCCACCGACGTGGTGCTGCACAACTACCGAGTGCCCGCGGGGGTGAGTGGGGAGGGGGGTGCCCGGGGGGGGGTCCCACACAGCGCTGACCCCCCCCAGGCGCTGTGCCAGCTGGCCCTTTATGCCACCCTGTCCCTGCCCTCTGGAGGGAGGGTCCCCCTTGCCCCCTGCCCCTGATTTGGGGGGGGGGGGTCCCTTTGCCCCCTGTCCCTCTGCTTTGGGTCCTCTGCCCTCTCCTGCTTTGGGGGTCCCTTTGCCCCCTGCCCCTGATTTGGGAGGGGTCCCTTTGCCCCCTGTCCCTGTTTTGGGGGGGTCCCTTTGCCCCCTCTCCTGATTTGGGAGGGGTCCCTTTGCCCCCTGTCCCTGATTTGGGGGTCCTTTGTCCCCCTCTCCTGTTTGTGGGGGTCCTTTGCCCCCTGTCCCTGATTTGGGGTTCCCAGGGGGTCCCTCTGTCCCCCATCCCTTGGGGGTGTCCTCTGGTGACGTTTTGTGGGGGTTCCCCCCATCCCTTCCCCCTGTTTGGGGTGCCCGGTGGGGGGGGGGGGGTTTCCCCTCATCCCCTACCCACATTTGGGGTCCCCAGGGGGTCCCTTTGTCCCCTGTGGTGCCTGCACAGCCCCCCCCACATCCCTGGGTGTTCCCTGGGGGTCCCGGGGGGGTCCCGGGGTTCTCCAGGGTTCCCTGGGGGTCCCGGGAGGTGCCGGGGGGGGTCCCGACAGCGGTGTCCCCCCAGACCCTGTGCCAGGTGGTCCTGTACCCCATGGGGGGGTCCCTGGGAGGTTTTGGGGGGGGTCCCTCATGGTGTTGCCCCCCCAGACCCTGTGCCAGGTGGCCCTGTACCCCATGGGGGGTTTTTGGGGGGGGTCTCTCACCCTGTCACCCCCCCAGACCCTGTGCCAGGTGGCCCTGTACTCCATGGGGGCTTTTTGGAGGGGGTCTCTCACCCTGTCACCCCCCCAGACCCTGTGTCAGGTGGCCCTGTACCCCATGGGGGGGGTCCCTGGGGGGTTTTGGGGGGGTCTCTCATGGCAGTGCCCCCCCAGACCCTGTGCCAGGTGGCCCATGGGGGGTTTTTGGGGGGGGTCTCTCACAGTGTCACCCCCAGACCCTGTGCCAGGTGGCCCTGTACCCCATGGGGGTCCTGGAGGTTTGGGTGGGTCCCTCATGGTGTTGCCCCCCCAGACCCTGTGCCAGGTGGCCCTGTACCCCATGGGGGGTTTTTGGAGAGTCTCTCACCTGTCACCCCCCCAGACCCTGTGCCAGGTGGCCCTGTACCCCATGGGGGGTTTTTGGGGGGGGTCTCTCACCCTGTCACCCCCCCAGACGCTGTGCCAGGTGGCCCTGTACCCCATGGGGGGTTTTGGGGGGGGTCCATCACACTGTTACCCCCCCAGACCCTGTGCCAGGTTGCCATGGGGGGTTTTTGGAGGGGGTCTCTCACCCTGTCACCCCCCTAGACGCTGTGCCAGGTGGCCCTGTACTCCATGGGGGGATCTCTGGGGGGTTTTTGGGGGGTCTCTCATGGCACTGCTCCCAGACGCTATGCCAGGTGCCCTGCCCATGGGGGTTTTTAGAGGGGTCTCTCACAGTGTCACCCCCCCAGACCCTGTGCCAGGTGGCCCTGTACCCCATGGGGTGGTCCCTGGGGGTTTTGGGGGGGGTCTCTCACCATGTCACCCCCCCAGACCCTGTGCCAGGTGGCCCTGTACCCCATGGGGGGTTTTGGGGGGGGTTTTTTGGGGGTGTCCATCACCATGTCACCCCCCCAGACCCTGTGCCAGGTGGCCCTGTACTCCATGGGGCGCTGTCCCGAGGTGTTCCCCCAGCCCGGCCTCTACGGACCCGCCGCTGGCTGGGCAAGGACGGCTCCGGCTTCAAGGCCTTGGCCTTCGGCTTCGGAGCCCGGCAGTGCATCGGGCGCAGGCTGGCAGAGGCTGAGATGATGCTCTTCCTCGTGCACGTCAGTGGGGGGCTCCCCTGGGCTGGGGGGACTGGGCTGGGGTGGGGACTGGGATGGGGTGGGGGGACTGGGCTGGGGTGGGGCAGAGGCTGAGATGATGCTCTTCCTCGTGCACGTGAGCTGGGGGACTGGGCTGGGTCTGGGGGACTGGTCTGGGCTGGGGGACTGGTCTGGGGTGGGGACTGGATGGGCTGGGGGACTGGTCTGGGCTCGGGGACTGGTCTGGGGTGGGGGACTGGGATGGGCTGGGGGACTGGGATGGGCTGGGGGACTGGGCTGGGTGGGGGAAGGGGGAGTTCAGCACTGGCAGAGGCTGAGATGATGCTCTTCCTCGTGCGTGAGCTGGGGCTCCTGGGCTGGGGGACTGGTCTGGGCTGGGGGACTGGGCTGGGCTGGGGGACTGGGCTGGACTGGGGAAGGGGAGTTCAGCACTGGCAGAGGCTGAGATGATGCTCTTCCTCGTGCACGTGAGCTGGGGGACTGGGATGGGCTGGGGGACTGGTCTGGGGTGGGGGCACTGGTCTGAGGTGGGGGGACTGGTCTGGGCTGGGGGACTGGGATGGGCTGGGGGACTGGTCTGGGCTGGGGGAAGGGGGAGTTCAGCACTGGCAGAGGCTGAGATGATGCTCTTCCTCGTGCACGTGAGCTGGGGGACTGGGACTGGGCTGGGGGACTGGTCTGGGCTGGGGGACTGGTCTGGGCTGGGGGACTGGGACTGGGCTGGGGGACTGGTCTGGGCTGGGGACTGGGACGGGCTGGGGGACTGGTCTGGGCTGGGGGACTGGTCTGGACTGGGGGAAGGGGGAGTTCAGCACTGGCAGAGGCTGAGATGATGCTCTTCCTCGTGCACGTGAGCTGGGGGGACTGGGATGGGCTGGGGGACTGGTCTGGGGTGGGTGGGCTGGTCTGGAGTGGGGGGAATGGTCTGGACTGGGGGACTGGTCTGGGGTGGGGCAGAGGCTGAGATGATGCTCTTCCTCGTGCACGTCAGTGGGGGACTGGGATGGGCTGGGGGACTGGTCTGGGGTGGGGGTTGGTCTGGGCTGGGAGGAACTGGGCTGGACTGGGGGACTGGGCTGGACTGGGGAAGGGGGAGTTCAGCACTGGCAGAAGGCTGAGATGATGCTCTTCCTCAAAGCACGAGCTGGGGACTGGGATGGGCGGGGGGACTGGTCTGGGTGGGGGGACTGGTCTGGGCTGGGGGGACTGGATCTGGGCTGGGGACTGGGCTGGGTGGGGGGACTGGGCTGGTGGGGACTGGTCTGAGGTGGGTGGGTTGGTCTGGAGTGGGAGGTAGTCTGGTGGAGGACTGGTCTAGGCAGGGGCTGGTCTGGGGTGGGGGGACTGGTCTGGGGTGGGAGGACTGGTCTGAGGTGGGGGACTGGTCTGGGTGGGGGGACTGGCTCTGGGCTGGGGGATTGGTCTGGGGTGGGGGGACTGGTCTGGGGTGGGGGACTGGTCTGGGGTGGGGGGACTGGGCTGGGATGGGAGGGACTGGTCTGGACTGGGGGGACTGGTCTGGGCTGGAGGGGTTGGTCTGGGCTGGGGGACTGGTCCTGGGCTGAGGGGTTGGTCTGGGCTGGGGGACTGGTCTGCGGGTGGGGGGACTGGTCTGGGCTGGGGGACTGGTCTGGGCTGGGGACTGGTCTGGGCTGGGGGGACTGGTCTGGACTGGGGACTGGTCTGGGCTGGGGGACTGGTCTGGGGTGGGGACTGGTCTGGGCTGGGGGACTGGTTTGGGCTGGGGGGACTGGTCTGGGGTGGGGGGACTGGGCTGGGCTGGGGGACTGGTCTGGGCTGGGGGACTGATCTGGGGTGGGGGGGACTGGTCTGGGGTGGGGGGACTGGGCTGGGCTGGGGGACTGGTCTGGGCTGGGGGGACTGGTCTGAGGTGGGGGGGCTGGGCTGGGCTGGGGGGACTGGTCTGAGGTGGGGGGACTGGTGCTGGGGGACTGGTCTGGGCTGGAGGGGTTGGTCAGGGGTGGGGGACTGGTCTGGGCTGGGAGGACTGGCTGGGCTGGGGGGACTGGGCTGGGCTGGGGGATTGGTCAGGGCTGGGGAGGGCTGGTCTGGGCTGGGGTGGGCTGGGCTGGGCTGGGGAAAGGGGGCTCAGCCAGGGGGGTCTCGGTGTGATGCAGTGCTGGGGGGGGGTCGGTCAGTCGTGGATTGGGGTGGGGATGGGTGGGCTTGGACAGCGATGGATTGGCCGGACCCAAAACCGGCTTGACTTGACCCAGTGATGTCACCGGACCCCAGGACTTGATGTGACCCCAGGACTTCATCTGACCCCAGGACTTCATCTGACCCCAGGACTTCATCTGACCCCAGGACTGACTTAGCTTGACCCCAGGACTTCATCTGACCCCAAGACATCATCTGACCCCAGGACTTGATTTGACCCCAGGACTTGGTTTGACCCCAGGACTTGGCTTGACCCCATGAACTTGATGTGACCCCAGGACTTGATTTGACCCCAGGACTCTGATCTGACCCCAGGACATCATCTGACCCCATGACATCATCTGACCTCATGACTGACTTAGCCTGACCCAAACCCAACTTGGTATGACCTAACATGACACAGCATGAGCATGACCTTGGCAGTGACCTTGGCGTGACCTTGACGTGACCTTGGCGTGACCTTGACGTGCCACAGCTCGGGCTGACCCGGGGGGGGTTCTTGGCTTGACTCGACAACTTCAGTTCAACCCCCCAGTGGGGTCTTGGCTTGAGCCAAAAACCCTCTTGGCTTGACCCAACGAGGACTTGGCTTGAGCCTGACCCCAAACCACCCTGGTTTGGCCCCAAACTACCTTGGATTGACCCCAAAGCACCTTGCATTGATCCTAAACCACCTTGGCCTGACCCCAAATAACCTTGGATTGACCCCAAACCACCTTGGATTGACCCCAAAGCACCTTGGATTGATCCCAAACCACCTTGACCTGACCCCAAATAACCTTGGATTGACCCCAAACCACCTTGGATTGACCCCAAAGCACCTTGGATTGACCCCAAACCACCTTGGTTTGATCCCAAACCACCTTGGATTGACCCCAAACCACCTTGGCCTGATCCCAAACCACCTTGCATTGATCCCAAACCACCCTGGGCTGACCCCAAACCACCTTGGCCTGACCCCAAACCACCCTGGCCTGACCCCAAACCACCTTGCATTGACCCCAAACCACCTTGGCATTGACCCCAAACCACCTTGGATTGATCCCAAAGCGCCTTAGATTGACCCCAAACCACCCTGGGCTGACCCTAAACCCCCCTGGTCTGACCCCAAACCATCTTGGATTGATCCCAAACCACCTTGGATTGACCCCAAACCCCCCTGGCCTGACCCCAAACCCCCCTGGGTTGACCCCAAACCACCTTGGCCTGACCCCAAACCACCCTGGGCTGACCCCAAACCACCTTGGATTGACCCCAAAGCACCTTGGCCTGACCCCAAACCCCCCTGGGCTGACCCCAAACCCCCCTGGGCTGACCCCAAACCACCCTGGGCTGACCCCAAACCCCCCTGGCCTGACCCCAAACCCCCCTGGGCTGACCCCAAACCCCCCTGGGCTGACCCCACCCCATCCTTTTCCCCCCCCTGCAGGTCCTGAGCAACTTCACCATCGAGGCCGTGTCCCCCGAGGACGTCCCCACCGTCTTCCGCTTCATCCTCATGCCCGAGAAGTCCCCCCTGCTCACCTTCCGTGCCCTCCACTGACCTGGGGGGGCCTGGGGGGTCCCCAAAGCTCCCTGGGGGGGTCCCCTGAGCTCCCTGGGGGTCCCCAAAGCTCCCTGGGGGGGTCCCCTGAGCTCCCTTGGGGTCCCCAAAGCTCCCTGGAGGTCCCCAAAGCTCCCTGGGGGTCCCCTGAGCTCCCTGGGGGTCCCCAAAGCTCCCTGGGGGGGTCCCCTGAGCTCCCTTGGGGTCCCCAAAGCTCCTGGGGGTCCCCGAAGCTCCCTGGGGGTCCCTGAGCTCCTTGGGGTCCCCAAAGCTCCTGGAGGTCCCCAAAGCTCCCTGGGGGTCCCCTGAGCTCCCTGGGGGTCCCCAAAGCTCCCTGGGGTCCCCTGAGCTCCCTGGGGGTCCCCAAAGCTCCCTCGGGTCCCCTGAGCTCCCTGGGGGTCCCCAAAGCTCCCTGGGGGGGTCCCCTGAGCTCCCTTGGGGTCCCCTGAGCTCCCTGGGGGTCCCCAAAGCTCCTGGGGGTCCCTAAAGCTCCTAGGGGGTCCCCTGAGCTCCCTTGGGGTCCCCTAAGCTCCTGGGGGTCCCCCCAAAGCTCCCTGGGGTCCCCTGAGCTCCCTGGGGGTCCCCTGAGCTCCCTGGGGGTCCCCTGAGCTCCCTTGGGGTCCCCAAAGTTCCCTGGGGGTCCCCAAAGCTCCCTGGGGGGGTCCCCAAAGCTCCCTGGGGGTCCCCAAAGCTCCCTGGTTGTCCCCTGATCTCCCTGGGGGTCCCCAAAGCTCCCTGGGGGTCCCCAAAGCTCCCTGGGGGTCCCCTGAGCTCCCTGGGGGGGGGTCCCCTGAGCTCTCTGGGGGTCCCCAAAGCTCCCTGGGGGTTCCCAGATCTCCCTGGGGCCCCCAAAGCTCCCTGGGGGGGTCCCCAAAGCTCCCTGGGGGTCCCCAAAGCTCCCTGGGGGTCCCCAGAGCTCCCTGGGGGGGTCCCCAAAGCTCCCTGGGGTCCCTGAGCTCCCTGGGGGTCCCCTGAGCTCCTGGGGACCCCCAAGCTCCCTGGGGTCCCCCGAGCCCCTCGGGTCCCCAAAGCTCCCTGGGGGTCCTGAGCTCCATGGGGTCCCCAAAGCTCCTGGGGTCCCCTGAGCTCCTCTGGGGGTCCCCAGACGCCCCTGGGCCCCTGAGCTCCGGGGGGTCCCCCAAGCCCCCTGGGGGTCCCCAAAGCTCGGGTCCCCCAAAGCTCCTTGGGGTCCCCTGAGCCCCCATGAAGTCCCAAAGCTCCCTGGGGGTCCCCAAAGCTCCTGGGGGTCCCCAGGCTCCTGGGGGTCCCAGAGCTCCCTGGGGTCCCCAAAGCTCTTGGGGGTCCCCAAAGTTCCCTGGGGTCCCCCAGCTCCTGGGGTCCCCTAAAGCTCCCTGAGGGGGTCCCCAAAGCTCCCTGGGGGTCCTGGGGGTCCCATGAGCTCCTGGGGTCCCAAAGCCCCCTGGGGGTCACCCCAAAGCCCCCTGGGGGTCCCAAAGCTCCTGGGGGTTCCCAGAGCTCCCGGGGGTCCCCTGAGCTCCTGGGGTCCCCTGAGCTCCCGGGGTCCCTGATCTCCTGGGGTCCCCCAAAGCTCGCTGGGGTGGGGGCAGGCAGGACTTACCGCCACCTGAGCAGTGGGTGGGGTTATGCAACGTCATGCAAATGGAGCGACCCCTCCCCCAATAAGAAGTCGTGTTGCAGGCACAGCG